AGGGAGTCATTATCAACGTCGACATGAATGTTAAAATCGCCTACAATAATAACTTTATCTGATTTAAGAACTAAACTGGATAAAAACTCTGAGAATTCAGATACAAATTCAGAATACGGGCCAGGAGCACGGTACACTATAACAAATAAAAGTGGCTGCGAGGTTTTCCAGGTCGGATGTAAAAGACTAAGAACGAGGCTCGAGGAATGTGGGTATTATTTTGACTGGGAGGAGTGGATTCATTTAGACTGACATATTCATCTTGAGACAGCCAGGTTTCAGTGAGACTGAGTAAATCAATATGATTATCTGATAATTCGTTTACAAACACTGCTTTAGACGATAGAGACCTGATATTTAACAGTCCACATTTAATTGATTAATTAAAATTACAGCGTTGACTTTTAGTTTCACACAGGACATGAACAGTGGACTCCCAGGTTACAGGCCAAAGTTTGTTTTACCCAACACTTCACCTCCTGCCCACCCTAAGCAGACTTTCACACTCTTTATACTTCAGCAGTTGCTTGTAGCCTCAAAAAATTCTGCCCCGTTGTGTCTCATACCACAAAAAAGGATGCCTCTGTCATAGACGTCGGAACTAGGGGGACCTGCTGCGCTCAGAGGTGGAACGGCGTTTTGATCAGGAGGGACTCCACGTAGCTGCAGGGCGAAAGCAGGCAGTTCTGGAGGCGGCTCAGGGGAAACAAGTGGATGTGGGTTCCCCTGAACTGACCCCCTTTCCACGAGAGCGGCTAAGCCTTGAGCTGGACATACTGAGGGATGTGTGTAGGGGACAAGAAGTTATCACCATCCAGGATGTTGTGTCCATCCTGCAAACCTTGCAGCCCCAAACCCGCTCCATGCTGTCGGAGGTGGAGAAGCTCATAAGCTCTGTCTGGCCCTGCCCTTATCTGTCGCGGCATCCGAGCGCTCTTTCTCAGCCTTGCACAGGCTAAAAACCTGGCTGCGCAACACCATGACGCAGGAGAGACTAACACATTGGACCATTATGAACGCTCACAGTGACCTTATGGATGAAAGCAATGTCTTGACCCTGCTTAAAATCTTCATCAGTATGTCAACTGAGAGAAGGTCCACTTTTGGAAATGCATGAAAGCCCTGAGTCAGGAGCGCAGAGTTTTCTTTTTTTCATTCAAGGTTACAAATAATGTTATGTTCCTTAAATGACTTGATGTAGTTATCAACGTTTCATTTTCTTAACCGTAAAGATGTCATGTTCATCCATTCTAGTTCTCTTATAATTGCATGTTATTATAAAATAATTTCAAATCAAATCCTTAATCACTGATAAGTGTGCGTGCTTCCCCTCCCAACAAAAATCCCGCCCCCCCTCTCAGAAAATAGTTCTGACATCCATGGCCTCTGTGCGTCTGTATGTGACACAGAGGGCCACCGACCAATCATCTGTATTTGCTGAGTTGGGAGTGAGACAAGTTCTATCACTGTTACATACATTTCAGTCTAATATTACCCAGATATACTCACTGTTAATACCAAGCTTTACCTGGTTATTAATTTGGTCATTACGTGTTACTACTTAATTATTCCCTCTTCATCATGAAACTATTACCTCACTATCATCATGTTATTACGGAGCTGTAATGTGAAGTGCTTCCAAAAATTACAGGGACATGTTGTACTTCTTACTCCACTGCATTAATTTAATACTGTTTGTTATTAGTTACTTTGCAGATTCAGATTCTATATAATCAACACATAAAATATGATGTATGATCATCAGTTAAGATATTATTGATCCACAGGGGAACTGCAGGAAATTAAATATAATACAGTTTCTCTTCACAACCCCTGAGCCCCTAATTGACCTGAAGTATTTGCCCTGTCTACGGCTCTGAGTGTAACTTCCTGTCTGAGTGGCGCTCAGAGCTCAGACAGGAAACAGGCCTGTAAATGAGCTTGAAGCTAACGCTAGCTGTGACTGTAGTTCAGTCACTGTGCTTTGGTTTTTACCTCTGTTTTGTATTTCTGGCTAAATTCACATGTTGTTTTTATCTAAACTGACACATTTCTATGGTATAATATTCTTTATAAGGTAAAACAGATGTAAAACAGTCAGATTGTGGTTTGAACTAAACTTTGACCAAATATTGAGTGTATTTTGTCGCTGTAGGACAGTGAACTCACCAGTGTTTCCTCAGGGCTGGGCTGCCATTAATTGGTCGCCAAGGTAACAAGAAACCATTTATTTGTGCCAGCATATGAAAACATGTGGGGAAACCAGTGTGACTGGTCTGCAGTGGGGAGTGTTAGCTCGTGTTGTTTCACAGATAAAAACAGAGTTCACTGTTAAAGTCGACCTGAAAACTTTAGTTATTCAAATAAAAGTTTCAAAAATAATCAAACTATGTTAAACTAACTCTCCATTACTGTCACATCAAACATCAAATAATATAACAATACTGCTACACTGCTGCTTATGTTGTTATTAGAGTGGAAATATTTGAAAGCAGGCCAAACATTTTTCATATGAACCTTTGAAACCTCTGTAGGACAGTGAACTCACCAGTGTTTGTTGTTGAGAAAAACCTGCTGGATTCACTTGAATGTTTCTTTCCAGAGAAACAGAGAGACTCGTCTCCACTGCAGCTCTGCTGTCACTCACACACACTTTCACTTTCACTTCAGGTCATGTGACTGTGAAGCTCTCCTCTTTCACTGTTGCTCCACCTCTCAGTGGGCCGTCACCAAGAGGGAGAGGTGGAGGAAGTATTCAGATCCTTTACTGAAGTCAAAGTACTAATACCACACTGTGACAATACTCCACTACAGGTAAAAATCCTCTCTTCAAATCCTTCCCTCAGTAAAAGTTTGATCAGGAACATTTATTATAAGTATGTGTAAAATGACTGATAGTGCAGTAAAGTGTTTCCTGCTGTCAGTGTTTTATTCTATCTGATGTTTTTGGATTAATATTCCTGCTGCATTAATGTGTATGTGTCATTTTACTGCTGTACATGTTTCAGGTTGAGCTCATTTGAACTTCTTTATATCCTGTTGGGGAGTTTAATGTACAAGCTGGGATGTAGGGGGATAAAAACTGTAATCTGAAAAGTAGGAGCTTTCAGACAAATGTAGAGGAGTAGAAAGTACAATATTTACTTCAGGGATTTAGTGGTGTCGAAGTATAAATGGAAACACTCAAATTAAGTACAAGTACGTCATAGGTATGGTATTTGAGTTAATGTACTTTGTTACACTCCACAACTGTAAAAGAGTAAATCTGTTAAATCTGAATTTTATGAAATAGAAATATTATTTAAATCCTTCAAAACAGATCTCACTGGTGTCATACAGAGGCATTACTTCAACTAGTTTTAAGGACGTGACGTTTTCGCACTGTTGTAATGAAGTCATTTTCCTGTCGAGGTGGAGGAGCTTGTGTGTACTCGTCTTCACACAGACATTAATCCTCCTGAACAATAACTCAGCTGATGGACAGCAGCAATGACTCTGAGCTGATAGAAACAACAACACTGTGTCTTCATACATGTTTCACAAAGACGCCACTGACAGCAAAACACTGCTTGCCACATCAAAACCTCTCAGCTCCAGAGTGCTGCTGTTGCTGCGTCATGTTTCAGTCTGACAACTGAAGCTTTTCAGCCCAACACTCAGGACGACAGACAGCTACAGCTGCAGAAATGACAGAGCAGATTGAAAAGATAAAGGACAGAGCAGCCTTTAAAACTATAAAGGTTTATACTCAGTAGTCTTCTTACAGAGCTGTCAATAAAAGAGATTCTTTCTTTTTTTTTTTTTTTTTTTACATTTTCCCTTAACTTAAAATTAAGGAAGCCTCGAAAAACCTCTTATTTAGGCAACATTTTAAATAACTTCAAATTACACAAAAGACTTTTGGAGCCAGTGTAGCGTTCAACTGTTCAGGGCTCCCAGAGCTAAAATATGTTTTAGCAGTTCCAGGTTCAAGTTTTTAGTTTTCAACACACAATACACTCATCAACCACTTTATTAGGTACACCTGTTTAACTGCCCCTTAATGCAAATAGTTAATCATTCAATCACGTGGCAGCAGGTCAATGCAGTTAGTCATGTAGACATGGTGAAGACGAGCTGCTGAAGTTCAAACTGAGCATCAGAATGATGATGAAAGATGATTGAAGTGACTTTGAACGTGGCATGGTTGTTGGTGCCAGACGGGCTGGTCTGAGTATTTACTGGGATTTTCAGCACAACCATCTCTAGGGTTTACAGAGGATGGTCCCAAAAAGAGCAAATATCCAGTGAGCCAAAATGCCTTGTTGATGCCAGAGGTCAGAGGAGAATGGCCAGACTGGTTCAAGATGATAGAAAGGCAACAGGAAGTCAAATAAGCACTGGTTCCAACCAAGGTGTGCAGAAGAGCATCTCTGAAGCAACAACACCTTGTCCAACCTTGAAGCAGATGGGCTACAGCAGCAGAAGACCACACCAGGTGCCACTCCTGTCAGCTAACAACAGGAAACTGAGGCTACAATTCACCAAAACTGGACAATAGAAGATTGGAAAAACCACATTCAGATGGAAGCATGGATCCATCCTGCCTTGTATCAACGCTTCAGGCTGCTGCTGTTGGTGTAATGGTGTGGGGGAGATTTTCTTAGTACCAACTGAGCATGGTTTAAACACCACAGCCTACCTGAGTATTGTTGCTGAGCGTGTCCATCCCTTTATGACCACAGTGTACCCATCTTCTGATGGCTACTTCCAGCAGGATAACGCACCATGTCACAAAGCTCACATCATCTCAAACATGACAATGAGTTCACTGTACTCCAATGGCCTCCACAGTCACCAGATCTCAGTCCAATAGAGCACCTTTGGGATGTGCTGGAACGGGAGATTCTCATCATGGATCAACTGTGTGACGTCATCATGTCAATATGGACCAAAATCTCTGAGGAATGTTTCAGCACCTTGTTGAATCTGTGACACCAAGAATTAAAAAGTGGGTCTAACCTGGTACCAGCAAGGTGTACCTAATAAAGTGTAAATGTTTCTATAGAGGACAGTGTCAATGTCCAGGCTGATAAGAATTCTGTTAATGAAGCATGTTCAATAACACATTTATATAAAACCTGTATTAATACAGTTTGACATCACTGTTTATTATTCCTTGTACTACAGAAACTACAGTTCCCATGATATATTGGGAGATAAACCGGAAGTGTAACTTGCCGTGGACTCTTTAGCTTTGGGTCACGATGTCCTCCTCTGCTCCTTTCCCTGTACTTTTCTACACATGCTGGCAAATTGGCACCATTAAATGTATGCCGAATTATCTATTAGCAGTCCATGTTTACAGTATACTAATACAGACAAATATCACTGAATTATTTTGGTACTGGAGAAAACCTAAAAACGTCAAGATTCTCAGGCAAATTCTGTATTAGAAAGAGCGTCTTTTTTCTCTGACTTTAAAGCAGATATAATGATATCTTCAGAAAGTGTGACACAGAATCTAAAAATATGCGTATTATATTTGTGTGTTCAGATTTGACCGAGTTATTATGACTCCGTGAAGAAGACGTGTGATTTTGTTGGACAGAAACAGTGTCAATGGATGGCAACAGGTTAGTGAAATAACCTGAGACCAGGAGGCTGTTCGGGGCCCCTGGTGGCCCCTGGTGGCCCTGCTGGTTGCCTGCTTTGACCAGTTGGTGTAACAGCATAGGTGACACTTGTGTGAGATGGAAAAGTTCTCTCACAAATAATATTTTGTCCTGATGTTGGCGCTGCATGGTGGAAAGCGCAAGCTAAACTGTGCTAACATCTCATTCACATAAACTTTATTTGGAATTTATAGATCTGTGGTCTGCATTGTGATGCCAGTTGGTAAAAAAGTTACGCTTTTAGTCATTAAATAAACTAAAAAACATTAAAAGAGATATTTAAAAAACATTTTGGGGCGTGCACATTTGGGTACCTTACAGCAACACTGTATCATAATGGTGAGAAATGTGAAAAGAGGGTTATTATTTAAAGTTTTAGTAAAATTAAAAACAAATTTGGCTCACAGAAATTAATATGTCACAGAGTGTAAGCAAACTTTATGCAAACATTTTATCAAACTAAACTATCATAACCCTCTTAAAATCAAAATAGTGAGTTATATTTTAGTGTTTGATTCATTTTTTTACATGTAAATGCTCCTTTTCAGTGTCCTGGTGTGTGTGTGTGTGTGTGTGTGTGTGTGTGTGTGTGTGTGTGTGTGTGTATTTCCTGATGTACAATAGCAGCTTCTTGTCCTTCAAACCTCTATATTTTGATTCATCCTCACGAACATCAATTGAAACTGCTAATTTTACCCTTGTTACATTAAACAATTAAAAATAATAAATAAACACCATGCGAGGAAGGCTGTAAAGAAGACACTCATATGGCCTCCAGGACGTCTTGTTACTATATAAACTACTGGTTTCCTTATAGGGCCCCAGCTCGTTTTTTAAAAGTATTGTGATATGAGTGGAGATGTATGTTGTGACGTTCAACGGCCAAAAATAGCTATGTTTCCACCCAAAAGTGATTTGAATCATTGGGAAATGCGCATTAAAAGAAATACGAATCCTCTGTGTTTCCATTAAATGTACGGACTTTGGTGAAAACTACGAACTTGCACGAGTTTTCCGCAGAACCGGAAACAAAACAAGTCTCGCATTCTTCTTCTTCTACGTTTTCTGGCGGTTGGCAACCAGCTTGTAAATGCATTACCGCCTTCCTGACCTGGAGTGTGGATATCACCATGGAGAGATGTGCGCTACGTCATACTTAATTCGAACATAACTGTTTCCATCCTCCCTTTTGCAAATCAACATTTTTTCGAATCAACCAAAACCCGGCTAAAGCAAGCGTATTTTAGTTTGTGCGAATCAGGGGATTTTAATTCGAATTTTGGCGTTTCCATCCTAACTTTCTGATGCGATACTTCTAGATGCGCATCTAAACAGGCTGATGGAAACATGGCTAATGAGTATGTTACTTAAAGGCAACACGTTACCGCAGAGGGTTAATGGACAAAGCTGTCAGGGCGTTCAGTGTTTACAGTGTCAAATGCTCTGATATTTGAACAGTGATGAGAGTAACTTGACATATACTTCAGCACAAGTTTGAGGTGTTTGTACTTTACTTGAGTATTTGCATTTTATGATAACTTCATACTCATACCCCACTAATTTTATAACTGTAGTCACTCTGCAGAGTTAGATTTCATATTTTAATGCAAAATATAAATCAAATTATACATGTTGATATATAATTCCATAGGTTCAGCTTACCAGCAGTATATAAAGTAATTAAAATAGCTCAGCAATATTAAAGTGATGTGGACAACACAATAATAATGCATCACAAATTGTAATCCAGTAATATAATATTTGTGATTCTGATAAAGGTGATTCTGCATAATAAGTGCTTTTACTTTTTGTACTAGGGCTGTATTTTAATGCTAATACTTTTGTGTTGTTACTCAATTACTTAAAAATTTGAATGCAGGACTTTTACTTAGTAGTTTTACACTGTAGTATTACTAATTTTATTTAAGTATAAAATCTGAGTACTTCTGACAGTTGGCAGCTTGTTTATCAAAACATACAGTTGAGGAGTTTTGATTCTGGTCTGTTTCCCAAATAATTACATCATTTACATAAAGTAAAATTAGCCAATCAACACAATTGACTCCCTCCATGGATCACATGACCTTCACCTGCAGGTCGTAGTGGTCCCTCACTGTGAACATCACTGCTTCATGGAAGTCTTTTTAACCTCTGTAGTAATTTGTGCTTCTCAGAAAAACGAGCTGTTGTTGTTGTCGTTGATCGGGCTCTGACCCCGCTGCCCTCCGTCTTTCTGAAGAACTGCTCCCTCTGTTCTCCTGACTCTGAGGTCCTGGTCCTTTCTGAAGAGGGGGACGCTCCATGGCTCTATTGATGACAGTTCATCAGCATGCAGGGGGGGCATCTGCCATCACCATGGCGACCAAATACAGCTTCTGTCCCCTCTGATTCACCCAACATTCACCCCTCCATCACTTTGCCTCTGCCTCAGCTGAGCTCAGTAGATATTTATATTATAGATATCACCACACTTCAGTCATGTCATTCAAATGTTAAATGTTCATTACAATGTCAGAATTTGAGCAGAATTTTTATCCTCAGTTCCCAGAAACCAAAGTGTGTCTTTAGACTGTTTATAAAGCCACCTGTGCAGCATGGTTTTATGTTTGGAGATGACTGTGTGTTGGTTTGTGCGTCACTCTGCTCGACATTTAAATACCTCAGCAGCTATTGGATTGATTGATCTCATGATGCACAGTGGTCCCCACAGGATAAAATCGACTTTGGTGATGTTTAGCCCAAGATTTTTCCTCCATTGTCATTATAAGGTTCACATTTGTGGGTTTGGAGTGAAATGTTTCAGGTGTTTTCTTGGGGAAGTTTGTAGAGGTCTCTGAGGAGGTTTTCTTTTTTCTTGAGGAGTTTTTGGGCTCTTTCTACATGTGGATGGATATTCCCCCTTCTGTTTAAACAAATAACTCTGACCACACCACCTTTATTTCACAAAATATCTCCGTCCACACTGGAACGCAAAAATGACCCCAAGCACTCACCAGTGTTAGCCACCTTCAGCGTCTCCCCTGTCACTAAGGTCATAAAGTGTGCAGGTTAACGTGACCTTTTTGAAAACACCTACTGCAGATCTCATCACTGTTGATTCCCCTTCAATTTAAGGATGAAGGAGCTCACTCTAATATAGGAGTGATGCCCTGGATATTCAGAAGTTTTTTCTTCCACTCCTCATCGACAACAGTCCCTCTCTGGAAATTGTCCCGCCATCTGCTGGATCAACTAGGCTCGATTCAAAATGTTGTTTCTAAAGTGGGGCAAAAACAAATTAGGGTTTTAAAGCTCTCAGTTTTAGTGACCTAAAATAAAATATAAAAACGTAAAGGAAAATATCTGTTTACAAAATTAACTGAAAACATGTCGACATGGCCTTAAGAAGTCATTTAAAGGTTCCAGAGTTCCTCAAGAAGGTAAGAAAGGGCCTTAAGGAGGCATTAGCATTTACTGAAAAGGTTTTAGCTGTCCTTTCCCACCATCTGTAGAAGAGGTTTCAGAGGTTCTTGAGAAGGTTTCAGCTGCGTTTGAGGAGGTTTAAGAGGTCATGTAAAGTTACCAGAATTCCTTAAGAAACTTAGAGAGGGCCTTGAGGAGCTATTGTCATTTATCAGAAATGTTTAGGCTGTCTTGGAAGACTTTAAGAGGTCTCGAAAAGGTTCCAAAGTTCCTCCGAGGAGGTTTTTTGAGGTCCCTTTGAAAGGTTTTAGATGTCCCTGAAGAGGTTCAGAATTCCTTAAGAACGTTAGGAACGACCTTGAGAAGTTGACAGTGTTTTTAACTGTGCCTTAAGAGGTTGCAACAGCCTTGAGGAGGTTTCAGAGTTTCTTGAGGAGGTTTAGGTTTCCTTGAAAAGGTCTTGAGGTCTTGAAATGGTGCGAAAATTCCTTCAGAAGTTTCCAAAGGTCCTGCTGGAGGTTTGTGAGGTTCTTGTTAGAGGTTTTGGATGCACCTGTAGACTGTAGAGGATCCAGAGGTCACTGAAGATGCAATTGTTCTTTTGGAGATTTTACGTTACCCTGAGGAAGTGAAAGTTGTCCTAGAGGAGTTTTAAGAAGTCATGTAAAGGTTTCAGGCTTCCTCCGGGAGGTTCCAGAGGTCCTGCTGGAGGTTAGGGAGGTAATTTTAAGAGGATTACATGTCTCTGAAGAGGATCCAGAACTTAAGAAGTAAGAAAGGACCTTGATGAGGTTTAAGATGTCTTGGAAAGGTTCCAAAGGTCATAAAGGAGGTTTGTTAGGTTCTTTTAGGAGGTTTTAGATGTCCCTGAAGTAGATCCAGAGGTCATTGAGGATGCAGTTGTTTAGGAGTTGAGGAGATTTTCGGTTTCCTGAGGAGGTTTTAGCTGTCCTTGATGGAGGTTAAAGAGATCATGAAAAGGTTCCTTGCGTTTTTTAGAAGGTTTTAGAAAGCCTTGAGGATGTTGTAGAGAGGGTATCAGAGCCCCTCAGGAGGTTTAAGTCTTGAAAATGTTCCACTGATCCTCACAATGCTTACAGTCATCCTGAAGAAGGGTTTAAAGTTGTTAGAAAAGGTTTTAGAGGTCATTGAGGAGTGAACTCTAGTGTGATGGGTGTAATGAGATCACTACTGTTGCTATGGTTACTTGCGGTTCAATAAATCTTGAACTCTGATTTAGACAACTATATTTGAGGTGAACACATAACATTTGACAGACACCAGGACAGGGTCAGCTGACTGACAGGAAACAATCAGCCCAGAGTCAGTTCAGACGCTCGGCAGCCGTCAGTCGAGACACTGAAGTGTTATTCTGAAGCTGGTTCAGCAGTGCAGTGAAGTGAAGAGAAAAACTTTTCTCTGTTTCACTTTAAAACTTTAATCTCAGGAGAGAGTTGCAGACTTAATGGTCATGTAACAGCTGGTGGAGGCTGAGACTGAAAAAAATGTTTAATAATTTACCCAAACTCAGACTCAGCCACGTTTCATCAATAATCATTTTGAGAACTGAACCTAATTCTGTCTTTTCAGGAGAAGTAAAAATATGATTTTAACTTCCAGTGTGTCTGTAAATTGGTTTCAAACAGCAGCAGTTTGTCAGTCATGACACTAATGAGGGAAATAAAAAATAAACTTGCCTCGTGGAGAAAACAGCATGAAAACAATATTGTCACACACCTGCTGCTGGGCCTTTATTGTGGAAGACATTCACAGGTCGGAAATAATCTCATGTGAGCAGAGACATGAGCCAGTGATTCAGCTGAGGATGAAGTCACAGAATCACAGAGATCCTCATCTTGTCTGTTTTAATCACCACCTGTAACTATTTGTCAACTCTCAGAGTTCAACAGTAACAGAACAAAAAATTAAATAAAAGAAAATATCGCAAGTGCTTTTTTAGAATGAAGATAAAATGTTTCTCATCACTGCTTTACTTCGTCCCTCAGGTCAGCTGGCGGCAGGGACCTGTGAGATCGTCACTCTGGACCGGGACAGCAGCCAACCGAGGAGGACCATCGCCCGACAGACGGCCCGCTGTGCCTGCAGGAAGGGACAGATTGCCGGGACGACACGAGCCAGACCGGCGTGTGTTGACGGTAAGACGCTCGCCGTCCTCTGACGGCTGCTGCAAACAACAACAAGCCCTCTACATCAGTGACAAAATATGTTGTTCATCCATGCCCAGCACAGTCACCAGGAGAACATGTTGGTATTTTACATCTCTGCAAACCACAAATATTTTATATTTGTAAATTTCATACAAATCAAATCATGTTTCCAAAGTGACATAATATACAAGCTGACGTTTGTCATCGGGAGGTGGGGGTGACCACTGCAGACCACTGTTTGAGACCAACTAACAACAAAACTGGTTGCGTTTTAGCGAGTCATTGCTGTTTTTTCAGCAGCTTTAAAGCCACCAAATGTGGTCATTTAGGTGTGACCCATTGCTGCGTTTCCTGCCAGGATCCATTCATCCATTTTCAGCCATTTATCCAGGCCTGGGTCACAGGGCTCAGGCTGTGCAAAATACTCTAGACGTCCCTCTCCCCAGCAATGCTTTCCAGCTACTCATGGGGGACTCCTAGGTGTTCCCAGACCAGATGAGATATGTAATCCCTCCAGTGTGTTCTGTTCTGCCCCGGGGCCTCCTACCAGTTAGACATGCCTGAAACACCTCTAACAGGAGGCATCCAGGAGGATCCCGATCAGATGCCTGAACCACCTCAACTGACCCCTTTTGTCGCAAAGGAGCAGCAGCTCTACTCCGAGCTCGCTCTCGGTGTCTGATCTCCTCCCCCTATCTCTAATGCTGAGCCCAGACACCCTACAGAGGAAACTCATTTCGGCTGCTTGTATCCGCGACCTCATTCTTTCGGTCACTACCCAGAGCTCTTGACCATAGGTGAGGGTTGGGACGTAGATGGACACACACGCTCCATTCTACCCTCACTCATGAACAAGACCCTGAGATATTTGAACTCCTTCACTGTCAGGATAGTGTCCTAAAAAGCGGTTGTTGTTTTACTGAGATGTTGGCGTGTTTCCTGCCAGGACAGCGCCATGAAAAGCACTTTAATGGACACAGGGCCCTGTTAAAGTAGCACCAGCGACCGTCCGACCAATGACAAATGGTTGGACAAGAGCTTAATGACCAAACAGTCGACCAGTTGACTAGAACGTGACAGTCCGACACAACAATCCTGCCGGGATAGTGCCACAAAAAGTGAGTAATTTAAGCCAAATCATGATCATTTCCTAACTCTTACCATATGGATTCTGTTAGACTTGCACCGATTAATCAGCAGTGCTCAGAATTGGGCCGTTTTCATGTGATCGGCCACGACCTGTGACCGGCCGGTCAACCAACGTTTGACATCGTGTAACACCAGCAGTGCACACACACGCACATGTGCAACTCACGGCGTGGGCGATGTGAGGAAGGGGACCTCAGGGACACACTGGTTTGGGTAGGACAACTATGGAGTAAATGATTCCGGCCAGAGAATCTGGTTCGAAGCAGGAGGTTCACAACAAGTGTAGCGTGTGTGTGTTTCTGAAATAAACAAAAGGAAAAATAGCTTTACACTCAATTCTTACAAATATGGCTTCTCACCTTAATCATTCACGCACACACATCAAAAGAGAGAAGGAGAAAGTTGTTAATTGTCCGTGTTAAACTGAACTGCAGAGCTCTCACTGCTGCACTGTGCCACTTGAAACTGACGAGGCGTGTGTCCGCGTGCTTCAGGGGTTAAAGTTCTCCGGCACAGCGCTGGATTTCCGGCGTGGCGAAGTTTCTGTCCGGCACGGGCAGAATTGCTCTGCAGTGCGAGCATTTCACTCGCATTTGCCCCTAAAAATATATATATGTGCGAACCGGGAAAATGATTTAGGCGCAGTGTGCCAGTAAACACAACCTACTGTTTACCATAATCGGCATCGGACGTTTTTTCATCGATAACTGATCAAATAAATGTATTTTGAAACTCACTCCTTTGGCTCTGATACAGCCTCTCCCTCCCTGCCTGCAGTCACCACTGCACTGGAGTTTGTTACAATGTCCCGCCTACAGCCCCCTCTGATTGGTTACACGGCACAAGTGATAGCCAATCAACACTGATGCCTGTGGGGCGTCGGTAGCGTAGTGGATAGTGCTGGCACCCCATGTACGGAGGCGAGGCCGCGCTGCAGCGGTGGCAGGTTCGACTCCGGCTTGCGGCACTTTGCTGCATGTCGGCCCCCGCTCTCTCTCTCTCTCTCTCTCACCCCATTTCAGTCTGTCCTGTCCATTGGAGGCAAAAGGCCCAAAAAAAATAATCTTAAAAACCCCCCAAAAAAACTCACTGACGCCTGTGCATGCTTTCACATCATGTCTGTCATTCAGAGCTCAGACGGAGCAGGAGAGGTTCCGGTGAGTCAGCGGTAATTTTGAAGGTAAAGTAACAGAAACCAGACAGAAATGAAAGTTGCAATAAAAGTCCTGTATGCTGAAGTTTTAAAGTCACCACCACAACATTATATGATCCATTTCAATGATGACATGCTTGCCCAGAGGCGAAATTTCGACGTAACTGCCTGTTTAATTCACATTAAGTGCGATACAATTTTGCCAACAGCCTAAATGATTTAGCTTCTAAAAATAAATAGCACCAAGGCAAAAAAGAGATGTAGGAGCTGTAAGTCAAAAAGTCTGGTAACAACTGAAAGTTTAATGTTTATATATAAACTCATTATGCTATAAAAGTTTAATCTGAAAAGTAACGACTAAAGCTATAATCTTTTTGTTCGTTTTGATCATAAACACGTTCCTTTGCAACACATACATTTCTATTTCTTCATTTTGTGACCACAACACCAAGCCCCCCGCTCCGGAAAAGATTTCAGATTTCAGGCACACAAATCTTCCGTGCTCCACATTTCAGGTACAAAATTTTTTCTTGCTTTAACCCCTGGTGCTTACTGGCGGGCGCGTCCTCAGCACTCAGGGACACACCATGTCGGCCATATGGAATTTTTGTCTATTCAAGAAATTACCCACAAATGCTATACACCAAGACTTATCATTTTATTTATCTATGTTTTTATTTATGTATGCCTTTTTTACTTATTAACAAAAAGGAAAATGTTTCTTAACTTGTGTCACTGTGTTTGTTTGTTTGTCTGAGATGATTATTGAAAAGCTGGTTGTGTCTTGGTTAAAATGTTCTAATAAAGGAAAGATAGAAAATATTGGAATATCTTATGTGCTGTAAAGTGGTTTGAAAAAAATTAAATCGGAATCGGCCGCCCAAACACTCTGCAAATCGGAAATCGGTATCGGCCCAAAAAATTGTAATCGGAGCAAGTCTAGATTTTGTGCCTTAACCTAACCACATGTTAACTGTAGTACTGTTGTAATGTAAAGAAACACAAGTTTAAACAAATCTGCTACATAAGAACATACAAATGTGATGGATGGCAACATTTTACCTGGTGATCAGGTCACCATGTCCTCTAAACAGACACAAAGACGTGTTTTATGAGCTCATGGCCTTATCAGCAGGACGACATCCTCTGTCTGTGCCTTTGAAATCACTGTTGAAAAATAAATCAGCTTCATGAGGTGACAGCAGTCCATTTAAGGTTCGGTTAGGTTTAGACTCAAAAACAACTGGGTTTGGTTCAGGGAAAGATGCGGTGATTTCCAAATGACTATTGTTATGGTGAGGAAACAACGTTGAAACAAACTGCAGTCCATGTTTTGTTGAGTCGTTCATCCACCTCGACCTCCTCCTTTCATTTCCTTCCATGACTGTCTCTCCTCTCTGGCTGTATGTTTACTGTAGTTAACAAGTATAGTCTCTGATTCTTATTTATGTTCATAAAGGCCAGTTGGGTGATATTTGGGTGCACTTTTAGGGGTAAATTAAGAATTAATTTGGGGTATTTTAGAGTGTTGAGATGTCATCAGTGTTCAGAGTCTTCTCTGAGGATGAAGGTCAGCTCACAGTTTGAGGCTAAACTTGCAGTTTATGAAGGAAACAAACACACAGATATCTGCGGCTTCCCCTCTAAATCCTCCACATCTCTTCATCTGGACCGCCAGGTTCAGAAAGTCAAAGCCCAGATGGGAACAGCCCAGAGTTGCATTGCATTTCATCACCTGCTGTCTCCTCCTTTCTCTTTCTCCCTCTCTTTCTGCCATCTGGAGACGACGACAACAGCTGGAGGGACTTGTTCCGCCCTGCAGGGATTTTACAGGCTCTCCTGGTGATTTTCACAGACTGTGAACAGTTGTTTAGCTGAGTTAAAGAACCTCTGCAGCCTCTCCCGCTGCTTTCTCCTCTGTAAAACTTGAGTTTAATAGAACTTCAGATTTTTTCTCCTTCAGATTTGTTCTCAGATTTTTACTCACATCAGCACTGATTTCCTTCAGGACTGATACAATCAGGACAAACTATCCAAAATTATCATATTCAGCAAGATTCAGCAAAGGTTGTTTTCATCTAATCAGTAGAGCTAATTGTTTTTGGCTGGACTGCACCAAAGTGGGGCCAGTCGTCAGTGAATGAGTGAGTCATGAAGCTAAACCATTGGTCCATTACTTTTTCAACATGACCACACACAAACAGTCTTTATGGGCAGAAACATGGTCCACACAAGTATGTGATCACACACTGAGCTTCACAAGATGGATTTCACATGTCGTTGCATTCTGGAGTCACACTGATGTCGATTCAGCCCTGTTAATACTTCTGATGCCAGCTTATAGGTGGAACAACTCTATCCCCTCAATCCGTGATCGTACCTTTTATACAGAGTGGGAGGTGGAATAACAGTGTAACATTCCCGCCTTAAACACACAGTGTAAAAGGAAGCTTATGTTTTCTTTTTGACATGTATCAGTTCAGAAAGGGACCCAAATGCAGAGCAGTGGGCAGGTGGATTTGGATCAAAAGACGAGCTTTAATGAAGCTGATTAAAAAAAAAAACATCCAAAACAGACGGGTCACTGAAAGTCCAAAAGAAGGACATCCAAAACTAAACTGAAAACCAACTGGGATAACACAGTGAACACAGGGACGAACTCAGGGAAGAAATCCAAAATGGAGCA